GTGGCTGACTAAATACTTTTTTGCCCCACTGTATTTGGGATGCAGTTAGTAAGTCCCTGTCTAAAAGGATTCAGTGAGGTTATCTAGTCTAAATTTTTCTTATTCTTTTTTGAAATGACATCATATTGCTGGTAGTAGAAACTTAATGTGACACTAGAGGTTCTGCTATCAGCAATAACAAAAATGGGGAACTGACTGGACTGACAAAAGCTTGACTGACTTGACGCCAAAACGCAAGATTGCACCTACTCCACCCAGACGGTGACAAAAGGGTGGATGTAGGTATGTATGTTTTGTTTTTTTGTTTTTTTGTTTTACAGGAGCAGGAAGATGACAGCAACATCCTAGGTTCGCATGGGCTTGTGAGCCATGCAAACTTAACCTTTTAGTGTTCACTTTCTGTATTCAACAGCAGTATGTTATTTGTGACATTGAGTTGCCAACAATGCAAAGATCACAGTGAGAGAGTGGGTATACAGATGTAAAATGTGTTAATACCAACATTACTTCCTTCCTCTTTCACAGCAGCAGGAGGGATTCACATCAGGACATGCCACTGGCTAATGCTTTTTCTAACACAGGTTTACAGGCCTGGAGCGGAACTACTCCAGAGGAGAATTTCTGATGTCGTTTGAGAAATAATATCATTAATGTTTTTTCTTTTTATTCTTCTAGTTCTGGTGAGTTGACACATGGGGGAAACCATGTGTCAAAAGAGGGAGTCCATGTTTAATATGAAACAATAGCTTCCAGTCTATGATTTTACTGAAATTTGGGTGATTAGCAATCCAAGTATAAGTAAAACCTCTACAGGGGGTACATCCATGTTCAGATAAGGTTATGGTGACCCACAAGTAAAGAGCTCACTGAACAAAAGTAAAATGTGCTTTGATGATGGTTCATATGTTTCCAAATGGTTAGAAGGTTTTTTTTGCAGAGAACAAGTGGGATGCAAAGGCGTAGTTGATAGCACAGATAGCGGTATAGTGTGGAAGCAGATTTTCATTTTTAGGTGTTTGTTGACCAACTATTAATCATGTGCATCATCACATGAGCCAAGGTGTGAAAAAGGCATGGGTCTTTACCATCCAGAGGCTTCTGGTAATACTACTCAGATCTTGTGAGGACTTATCTTGTGAACTACTGAGGTCACCTGATGCAAGGTGTGAGTGGGGGTTGAGGAGCCTGGGAAGTGGCATCAGACAGATCGCTTGAAAGAGGACATAAAAAAAAATTCCCCTCTTGCCCTATATGGGCAGTCTTTATCTTTCAAGCTTGAGCCCTCTACCACAGTGTCCTGTGCAGTATCTTGAGGGTTGTGCAGAGTAACTTTGCTGTTCCTAGGACTGTGCTCTTCTGGACAGAGATCTCAGATCTTGTTCCTGGGATCTGCTGGAGCCATTTGCCCGGCTTGGTGATCACTGCCCCATGTGCTCAATTACCGCGGAGACCATTGTTGCCTACACCGTCTACATTTTCTCGAGCTCCTCTCTCCACCCTTGGTACCTCTTGAGTTTGTGTGCTCTTTTTTTTGTTGCTGTTGCTATCACTTGGTAACTACATCTATCACTAAGGCCACCTTCCTCTGCTTGTCCACGAGTACTATGCCAGGGACATCTGAGCTTTCAGAGAATTCATGTGTCATTTCAAGTTTCATATGTTATTTTTGCTTCTCTACCAGTACTATATCAGGTTGGTTAGCCATCGCCAGTTTGTCTGTCTGTTTCTTGAAGTCCCACAGGATCTTAACTTGGTCATTCTCAACCACGCTAAGGCACATGTCCCATTTTCACCTCTGGCATTCCAGGCTAACTTGGCATAGATTTTCCTGTATACTGTCCCAGCCACTTGGTTATGGTGTTCCATGTATGACCTGCTTGCTAGCAATTTAAAAAAAAGGTTAAATAACTAAAAGAAAAACAGAAAACTTTAACTAAACTAAAACTAACTGTGGGATGCCAATCTGCTGGCGGTTTATCGGAGGAGGATACAACATCCTAAAGACTCCAGAAACCTGGTACACCAAGAGTTACCACCTGTGACTTTTCCCGGTTCGGCACACACGTCAGCCAAACTTTTTAGCTGTCTGCGCACCCTTGTCTTAATTAAAATCAATTTTAGCTTGAATAAAGCAATTCATTAAATCCTGAATTGATTTTTAAATATAAATGTATTTAGCCAGAAACACCAGAATCTCAGGTTAAAGCTCACAAAACTATTTCAACAACCACCAAACAGCTAAAAGAGCAAATGAGAGCAGGTAAACGGATTCCGCACAAAGACGTAAACACAAAGCACAGATCGTTCACCCAAGAGCACATACACAGACTGTCAGAGTGATTTGGTTAAAAGTTGTGATTGTTGTGTTTAAATTTGTAAACCTTGTTTTAAACTGCATGGTCAAATGCATTTTTCTGTTTCTATTCACCTCCCCTACATGTAGAATGGCGGGGGAAGCTATAGTGTTTAACTGCAGACACATTCCATTTAAGATTCTGGTTTCCTTCTTTGGTAAGGAATGTTTACTTCCTGCCACTTATGGGCTCACCTGTGTTTGTATATGGTGGTCCATTAAAGGAGTTGAGCCATATACAGGAGTGAGGGGAGATGACCCTTTTATGACCAGCAGGAAGTCATGTATACACACACACACACACACACACACACACACACACACACACACACACACACACACACATGCTCGCACATGTATGCACACACACACAGTGCTTTAACTTTTATGACACCATATGGGGTTTTACAATGGGGGTGCTTGTGTGTTCACTGACTAAAGGCTGCGAGGGGACACTGGTTTTTTGGTGTTGTTTGAGTGCAGGTGCAGAGCTTGCTGCTCTGTGATTCCGACCGGGCTCCCCTTGCAAGTTAAAATGGATTGATCTCTGATTGTCTTGCTTCGTTCACAGTGATAAGGCTCTGAACCAGTGAGGACTGCGAGTGCACACCTAACAGAGACACACTGATAAACAAAGGAATGTTTACTTCCTGCCTTTATAGGCTCACCTGTGCTTGTATATGGTGGACCGTTAAAGGAGTTGAGCCATATACAGGGGTGAGGGGAGTTGACACACGTGCTCGCACATGCATATACACACACATACAGTGCCTTAGCTTACACACAACAGGGGTGTTACAATGGGGGGTTGTGTAACTGTTTGTCACTGAATAAAAGGCTGCAAGGGGACGCTGGTTTTTTGAAGTTGAATGGGATCAGGTGAGGAGCTTTCAGCTCCAAGAGCCAACCAGACTTCCCTTGAGCAGCAAGTAAAAACCGACTGAGAGGAATTGTCTTGCTTTGTTCACGGGAGTGAGTCTTTGAGTCAAGAGGCCTGCAAGCGCAGACCTAACATTTTCATTATTGTAACTATCAGAGGAAATGGAGCAATTTTGTATGTACTTTAAACTGAAACTATATTCTTAATAACCCTGAATGTATTTCTTATGCAAAATTTAAAGGGAAAATAAATATATTTTTAACTGAATAAAACCAACCTTACTTATGACTGAAATTTGCAGACACGAATAAACTTTCCAATCTGTTTAGTTTAAATGTTAGTAGTATTTACTGAAAAAATTACATTACTGAAGTACTGGATCAAAATTAAACAGTCTCACCACAGTTTAGTGTATCATATAAAACAGTGCTCTCTGTCTTGTAACTCCTCCTACATAACACTTATTTCAAATGACCCTCTTAGCTTTGAGCAGTCACACTATGATTTCTGCATCTTCGGTTTCAACTCCTTTCCTGACCCTTTCAGCAGAAGTAATTCATTCATCTGTCATTTATTTTTCATGGAAGTAACACAATGAACTGGATAATTAGTGCTACAATATCCTTGTTAGGTAAGAGAAATTTATGGCCTTCTATTCTGTCTGTTGTCTGAATTTATGCAAATAATGGACATATTAGTAGCATTTCAGTGAAAATTGCTTTTCTGCTAGCCACAGCACAGCAACATTTTTCAATAAAAAACATCTTTTAGTTCTAAAAACCAGCGGGGATGTTAAATTGATAAGTTAAATAATATCTTCTAGAAACGCTTTTGTGATTGTCATTTCCTCATATACATTTTACCTCCTGTGAATCACACTAGTTGCTGAAATGTGTGATTAGCTCAGTCAGGTCTTGACTGTCCTATGAGTTCATGCAGTCATCATATACACCTGCTTGTTTTTGTTTTACTGACACTGTACCCACTTTTGCAACAGGCATCTATTTTTTTGCATGCAAGACACATTGTCCTGGATTGGCCTTCCACTTGCATTTTTTAAAGTGCCATGGACAAGCAAATCTGTACAGGTTATTTTTTCATGTGAATAGTTGTTCAGCACCACAGTGTTGAGAACTTTCAAATGTCAGATGTTGATACTTTCAAGTGGTAATGAAAAAAACAATGTGGTTTAAAAAGATAGAATGAAAGTAACACAGGGCGTATGCAGTTTCATGCATGTGGTTATACTTAGAGGTGCTGCAAAAACATTGTTCTATAAAGTGGCTTTAAGTAAGAATAATGATGATGCTTTTTCTTCATTAATCGTCAGGGTTAAATATTGCTCTTGGTTTCAATATTGATCCCGTGGCTTGGAAGACCTTGAGGAGCTCTGCTGCTGGTTTTGGCTACCAGGTGGTTCAAAGACAATCAGAGTAAGTCAGAACATGCATTGATATGTTGAATATGGGTTTATAATTGCCTGTTTAAGATTACTGATATTTATTTATTTATTTATTTATTTATTTATTTATTTATTTATTTATTATTTGTTTAACAAAATTATCACCACTTATTCCTGACAGCATTAATAAAACAGGGATAAAATACTTGTTAACAGAGAACATATGTAGTTTATTTACTGTAACTACAGTTTGCTCTTTGGACATATCATTCTCATCATGGCATCATTTATTTCCTTAGTTTGCTCGTCAGTGCCCCATTTGAACAGTATTCACAAAATGGAAGAGGGAAAATATATATTTGCACCACTTCTCACCCAAGCTGCCAAAATATAAAATTTGAAGGTAGGTAACCATTCATCTATACATTTCTTTACAGGATTTCCTGAAACTCTGACAGTAAGTATTTTGCCTTCAAAGAAATAAACCACAGTGTCATGATCACTAGGTCTGGGAGGAAGTGTTTTGAGCTTTTCGAGAGCTCTTGGTTCATTTTGCTTTTTGGCATGCACAGTATTTGGGACTAAAAATTACAATATCGGTATTGTTTATGTTTGTTTTTTCCCTTGAGTTTCCTTGAGATTTTTCCCCCATGTTGTCCTTTGCCTTTCAGTGATCCCCTGATGTTCTCTATGCTCACTGTGTCATGTCTAGGTCTTCCCCCTGCTTGTTATGTTGATTGTATTCATATGTGTGTAGTTCCCCACCTGTTTCAGTTTCCCTCATTACCTCTTGTGTATATAATGTTAAGTCATTCTTTGTCCTTTGTTGTGTTGGACACATAGCTGTGTATCCCTTAGCTCTACTTTTCCGTTTCTTCACGGATATGTATTCCTAATGTTCTTTGGGTATTGGCAATACATAGGTTCTCTCTTTTTTATTAGATTTTTATTAATTTCCATACTTTTCAGCATTAAATGCTAACCTTCTCTTTTTTGACTTTAGTCTCCTGAATTCTGCTCTCGAGTCAGCAAAACACTCCACACTAAAATAAAGTAATAGTGAAACTTAATTCTATTTAGAATTCCTTCCTGTTGTATCATATGCACCATAATAATAGATGTCAAAATGTCTGATTTATGCTAGTTTCCAGCCTAGAGGAGATATTGCCCATGCTTAAGTGTTTTAATTTTAGTTATCAATTTCACAGTTGTTCTGTGTTTTTGTATTTTGGTTTGAATACAGCACCAAGATTTGCAGTCAACATGT